TCAAGTCAAGTCATTGCTCAGGTCAAGCAAGTCAAGTCAAGTCATTGCTCAGGTCAAGCAAGTCAAGTCAAGTCATTGCTCAGGTCAAGCAAGTCAAGTCAAGTCATACGACATTCTGATGAATAAGCCCAGTTTCCACATTTCAATCAGTTCAAAGACAGTGGTTATGAAAATGGATTCAACCCACACTATGATCTTCATTACATACACAGTTCATCATTTGAAATCTAATTCAGACCGATGACAATCATATTAGATTCATATTAACCCCAGAACTGCAGACGATACAGCTAGGACTCAAAAAGCCTGTTCAAAAAGGCAGAACTCCAGGTGAGAAAATCAGATATTTTCCATTACACATATTTAATTTAAATGTCTGTTAACACCAGAACCGCCAACAGCGCCAGCGCCTACAGAGATATCATTCAAACCATTTCATCTGTTCCTCTTCATCGTTTCCTTAGAAACTAAGTAGATTTAAAACTCACTTAAGAAATGGCTTCAGTTTATCATCATAACAGATCAAAAAGATTCATTTACAATAAATCAAGGAATGATGCACTTCTACAAACAAAACAACATCATTAAAACATTTAAAATTAAGCTTAACGCAAGTTCAATGAGGAAGACCATACCCCCTGGTGTTACACGTCACTTCAATCTCCTCTTCCATTAAGTAATCAGGGGCGTTACTCCCCAGCTAGCCAATCATCGCACCTGCTAACCCCTTTAAATCTGCTCTTCCCTCTCTGTCAGTTGTCATTTCAGGTGTCAACGCACAACCCGCCTCCACCCCTTCGCCTCCTGTCTCCTAATTCAGGGCCAAGCTAATCCTTCTTCCTTCAGACCAGACCGAACCACTTATCACCACCACCAGTGTCTAGACCCCGGGGGGGTTCATCGGAGCGGTTTTCCCCTCCCGAATGATATCCTACAAACCGGGGCCTAATCTCCAAACATCAGTTAATTCATTGTTGTAATCTGTCAATCATCATTTTCTTATACCATGCGTCCCGGTAATAAACATGTATTTCATACATCATGTCTCTCCTGATTGAACTACTAAAAGCAGATGAACTACAGTTTACAGAAATCTCTCTCTCTCTCTCCCTCTAGTCTCAAGTCATGAATACCAAGTCAAAGTCAAAGTCAAGTCTTTTATCAATGTTAGTCAAGCAAGTTTCAAGTTTCCAAAAATATGCGACTCGAGTCAAGTCATGCGACTCGAGTCCCCACCTCTGGTATATGGGTACATGTATTATTGTTACTATTCTTTATTTCCTTATCTATTAATTTTTCTTTTAATATTATCTTCTACATTACTTTACTTTGACCTATACATGTATCTATTTATTTAGTTATGTAATTTACTAGCTAGGACCGGGACGGGGGGAAAGGGAAATACATATATATTGTCTGTATAAATGTAAACTCATTGTGCCTGACTCAATAAAACCCTAACCCTGAGAAAAAACCCATCATTTGTTCATATTCAACATAAAGAGCAGTACCTTGGGGAGGGGCATCCCGCTGCTCTTGCAGTGGAAGGTGACCCCCATGCCCTCCAAGATCCTGTAGTTTTTGACAGGGGTGTCGAAGATGGGCTGCACGGCCTCGTTGGGGTCAGAGGTCACGATCAACTCTCCGTCCTCCGTCACGATCTCTCTGTAGGTAAACTTCATGATGACGAGCTCGTACTCGTGGATGATCCTCTGCTCGATGGCAGACAGATGGAAGTCCTGCAGACCAGAGGAGGCGGGACAACGTTTATTAAGACCAGGTCAGCATGCAGAGACTTCAAGATGTGTCTTTAACCCTCACCTCTACCAGGTCAGCATGCAGAGACTTCAAGATGTGTCTTTAACCCTCACCCTAACCAGGTCAGCATGCAGAGACTTCAAGATGTGTCTTTAACCCTCACCTCAACCAGGTCAGCATGCAGAGACTTCAAGATGTGTCTTTAACCCTCACCTCTACCAGGTCAGCATGCAGAGACTTCAAGATGTGTCTTTAACCCTCACCTCAACCAGGTCAGCATGCAGAGAATTCAAGATGTGTCTTTAACCCTCACCCTAACCAGGTCAGCATGCAGAGACTTCAAGATGTGTCTTTAACCCTCACCTCAACCAGGTCAGCATGCAGAGAATTCAAGATGTGTCTTTAACCCTCATCCTAACCAGGTCAGCATGCAGAGACTTCAAGATGTGTCTTTAACCCTCACCCTAACCAGGTCAGCATGCAGAGACTTCAAGATGTGTCTTTAACCCTCACCCTAACCAGGTCAGCATGCAGAGACTTCAAGATGTGTCTTTAACCCTCACCAGGTCAGCATGCAGAGACTTCAAGATGTGTCTTTAACCCTCACCTCAACCAGGTCAGCATGCAGAGAATTCAAGATGTGTCTTTAACCCTCACCCTAACCAGGTCAGCATGCAGAGACTTCAAGATGTGTCTTTAACCCTCACCAGGTCAGCATGCAGAGACTTCAAGATGTGTCTTTAACCCTCACCTCAACCAGGTCAGCATGCAGAGAATTCAAGATGTGTCTTTAACCCTCACCCTAACCAGGTCAGCATGCAGAGACTTCAAGATGTGGTCTTTTAACCCTCACCCTAACCAGGTCAGCATGCAGAGACTTCAAGATGTGTCTTTAACCCTCACCTAACCAGGTCAGCATGCAGAGACTTCAAGATGTGTCTTTAACCCTCACCTCAACCAGGTCAGCATGCAGAGAATTCAAGATGTGTCCTTTACCCCTCACCCTAACCAGGTCAGCATGCAGAGACTTCAAGATGTGTCTTTAACCTCACCCTAACCAGGTCAGCATGCAGAGACTTCAAGATGTGTCTTTAACCCTCCACCCTAACCAGGGTCAGCATGCAGAGGACTTCAAGATGTGTCTTTAACCCTCACCCTAACCAGGTCAGCATGCAGAGACTTCAAGATGTGTCTTTAACACTCACCCTAACCAGGTCAGCATGCAGAGACTTCAAGATGTGTCTTTAACCCTCACCCTAACCAGGTCAGCATGCAGAGACTTCAAGATGTGTCTTTAACCCTCACCCTAACCAGGTCAGCATGCAGAGACTTCAAGATGTGTATTTAACCCTCACCCTAACCAGGTCAGCATGCAGAGACTTCAAGATGTGTCTTTAACCCTCACCAGGTCAGCATGCAGAGACTTCAAGATGTGTCTTTAACCCTCACCAGGTCAGCATGCAGAGACTTCAAGATGTGTCTTTAACCCTCACCAGGTCAGCATGCAGAGAATTCAAGATGTGTCTTTAACCCTCACCTCTACCAGGTCAGCATGCAGAGACTTCAAGATGTGTCTTTAACCCTCACCAGGTCAGCATGCAGAGACTTCAAGATGTGTCTTTAACCCTCACCAGGTCAGCATGCAGAGACTTCAAGATGTGTCTTTAACCCTCACCAGGTCAGCATGCAGAGAATTCAAGATGTGTCTTTAACCCTCACCTCAACCAGATCAGCAAGCAGAGAATTCAAGATGTGTCTTTAACCCTAACCTCAGAGTCCTAGACCAAGCCCCAGCAAGTGCACCGGACCAGTTCTCTTTATACCTCCATGCTATACATCTGCTCCTACCTGTCCGGTTATAATGGTTGAGGTCTGCTCCATGGGGGTCGCCCCGGCGGTGGGCTCCTGCACCATGGCTGTCACTTCAGTCTTAAAGGTGGCTTCCTGTTTCTTCATCAGGGCTTCGTATTCCTCTGTCGAAACAAAGCATTCAGTGTTAGACTACAGCACTTCTTCTTCTCTAACCTCTTCCTCGCTGCAGGTGTTTCTGACAGACAGGTTTCCTACCTTCCTCCAGCAGGTCTGCAGAGGCAGAAACTTCTCCCAACTGGTTCTTGGCGAACACCGAGTATTCTCCGGCGTCATCGGCAAAGGTCATGGAGATCTCCAGCTTACATTCGCCGGTCTCCTTCTTATAGGTAACTTTATATCTGATGGAGGAAGGGGGTGAGGGGTGTGTTAAAGATAATTCAAAGAGAGCTGCTGCCCCCTACAGGCTGCAGTGTGCATTACAGATACAATGACTACATTTATCTTTGCTTAGACTTTAAAGAGCAAAGACTGTGATAGACTTACAGTCATGGGGATATATCCTTTGTTGTACTTTAGCATTGGTTTGATCAAATCTAAAACCATCACTGTGTCTTTCCTTTTTAGGGTTAAAACCTTGTTCCAGTAGAAGATCGATCTTCATGCTCTGAGTTAGAAACTCAAAATTCAGGTTTTCACATTAAATTACGTAGAGCAACATGTCGCTGAGATATGGTTGAGAATTCCCTGGATTGTAAACACTGCTCTGGGTTTGTTATATGTTTGACAGCCCCAGGACATGAGGTGCATTGCCTTCACAGCCGGTGTGTTCCTGACCCACCTGTATCCAGTAGTGAGCGGGACGCCGCCCTTCTTCCAGATGACGTGAGGTTTGGGGCTGCCCCCCACCTTGCAGTCGAACACCACGCTGCCCCCCTCCTCCAGCTTCTGAATGCTGGGTTTCCGGAGGAAGACGGGGGCGGCGTCCGGGACGTCGGCTTCGCTCACCTGAGACTCCGTCTCCTCTGGAGCCTCTTCTCTTTCTCTGCACACACAAACCTCCTGTTAGCACTAGCCGTAGCACTCTGTACGCTCAGTCCAATAGAGAGTGTGTTTTCTGGAGATAGACAACGGTAATCAAGCTGCACCACTTCTAAATATTAAAGATCATTAAACCAATGTTCCAACTGACTGTGACTCTCAGTATTTCCCACTTTATGTCTTACTCTCCAATTTCAAATGTTTTAAAAGGCAACTTTACACAGTCTTTGTACTGTGTGCAAAGTAAACAAATGTCACGTCAAACCACTAACAGTGCATCGATACCACAGCGGTGGAGAATGTGCAGTTTCCCTCTACAATCTTTTGGATCGGTGCTATTATAAACCTTTGTCATCGGGGACATGTTAAATAATAACATTTGATGTTAAATGTTACCGGCATGTTTGGTAAAGTTGTGAAGGATATAAACTGGTGTTTATGGTGCACTCACGGTTTCTCTGCAGATTCTGCAGCCACCTCCTCTCTGCTCTCGATGTCCTCGGACACTGCAGGACAGCCACGGGTTAGATAGGAAGAAACATAAAGTAAAATACATTAGTATATAGAAATATAATGTAAAAACAGAAGAGGAACACCAAGAGTCTTAAAGGTATTGACATGTTTCTGAGGACTTTGAGGGCTATTTGTATTCTTTAATTGAGAGTAAATTATAATAATGTCTGTAGCTGACCCTGGACCAGCAGGTAGCAGGAGGTGCTGACGGTGCCCGCCTCGCTCGTGGCTGTGCAGGTGAAGCGCCCGCTGTCCTCGGCGAAGGCCTCACGGATCACCAGCTGAGCGACGGTGCTCTCGTAGGAGATGTGGAAGTCGATGCTGCTCTCGATCTTGTAGTCCTCTCTGAACCACATGATGCTGGGGGCGGGGTTTCCGCTAATCTGACACTCCAGCGTCACCGACTCACCCTCCGTCACGTTGGTGTTCTTCAGACCCTGCACACACAGCACTCAGAACAGTTAGTACGCGTTGGGAAAATCCTGAATGTCCTCCTCCAACATGAGAGCAACATGCTAACAAAGGTATCCCAACTGCAGCTGTGAACATGACAGGATGTGTGATTACCTAGAAGAGCATCAGTGACCATTGCATGTATAAAAAATATGTGTAATGTGTATTTGTAAAGCGCTTTGAGCATCTGGAAAAGCGCTATAATAAATGTAAGGAATTATTATATGATAGCTATGTGATTAATCTGATGATTCAGCCTCTATGGAGATAGATATCAAGCATGCTCATTTCTGACGTGGAGCTAATCTGAAGTAAACATTGAATACTGCTTTCTATCCCTCCATCTTGTGACTGTGTAACTCCCTCTCTTGGATATCAGCATGTGAAGGACACTGTTCAGGAACTAGTTGATGCTATGTATGTGACGGGGACCGGTGAGATGATTCTAACAGTACGTATATAAACTCAGTTAAAGAAGCGTATGGTTTCAGGAGGACTCACTGACACCAGGGTGGGAGGAACCACGGCGCCACCGGCTGACGGCACGGCTGCTGCCTCCGTCACCTGATGGAGAAACACCTCCGTTAGCTCATTACAATAAAACTACATCCTACAGGAACACACACACACAGGACAGACAAACACACACAGGGCACACACAGGACACACAACACACTAAAGACAGAGACAGGATGAGGCTGATGAACAGGTGAGGATGGGGATATTTTGGCTCAGCTCAGCGAGGTCTTGATGCTGTAAGTCTTTCTAAATGTTCATCAGTTTAAATGACTATATTAATGTTTCCTGCAGACGTTATCAAGCAAACTGTGTTGTCTTTATCTTTTCTAAAACAAAGTGATGCCTGTATTGTGTTTCCCCGTGATATCTACAGAACTTTAAAGTTGTCTCGTAGAGGGGTCTTCCTCAGGAGCGTCTGCCCTAAACCTCCGGACCCTAAACCTCCGGACCCTAAACCTCCGGACCTTAAACCTCCGGACCCTAAACCTCCGGACCCTAAACCTCCGGACCCTAAACCTCCAGACCCTAAACCTCCGGGCCCTAAACATCCGGACCCTAAACCTCCAGACCCTAAACCTCCAGACCCTAAACATCCGGACCCTAAACCTTCAGACCCTAAACCTTCAGACCCTAAACCTCCAGACCCTAAACCTCCGGGCCCTAAACATCCGGACCCTAAACCTCCGGACCCTAAACCTCCGTGCCCTAAACCTCCGGACCCTAAACCTCCAGACCCTAAACCTCCAGACCCTAAACCTCCAGACCCTAAACCTCTGGACCTTCTCTGAACTGTGATCAGGTTTTCTTGTCCTGGTCAGATCCAGCCGGTTCACAAACCTGGACTCCCCACTCCTCATGTCCCACCTCCTGCCCCCCCGACAGCACAGCTTCATATGATTGGGTGAAGCCTCTGAAGGGGGAGGGGCTTCTGAAAGGGGGGACGACAGACTCCATCTCCAGGGTCTTAGTACGGGACGGACTGGGAGACTTCACTGGTTTGATGATCTTTCTCACCCCACCAGAAGAGGAACAGAACTCTCTGTGCAGAGCGGCGACTGCCGAGCCGGCGATGGAGACCTGAGCGGCCCAGAGGGGGGGGGGGGGGGGGGGTTGGTTTATTACATCTATAGCACTGGAGGGGGTGTACTGGTTTATTACAGCTACAGCAGGATCAGGGAAACCACTGTGCGTGTTAAACTGGGGGGGGGGAGATGGGCTACGGACGTTAGTTTATTAAAGCTACAGCAGGGGGGGGTTCACTTTATTAACTACAATTCACAGCAAGTCTGCATTTCAGGGAAAACCAAATGAGCGTTTCTTAAAGTGTTAAAGCTAAAACAGATCAGCTGTTCTGACAGGAGATGCTAACGGTATGCAGCTAACTACAGTAGCTTTACTCACATTACATCATTATCTTGTGAGTTATATTAGAACAACCTGTACGGCATGCTATCAGGTGCTCTATCCCTGACCCTAAGATATTTAGCTCGTTAGCTCAAGGGGATACAGCCAGAATCAGAGACAGGCAACAGGAAGTCAGGTGATTAACTGAGGGTCAGGTTGATTATTGAAGTCCACTTCCTCTTATTTCTACAGATTATTAGTGTTGCCCGATGACGCCGCTCTTACCTCGGAGCTAGCCTCGTGTTTCGGGACAGAAACTTTAGAAACTGTGAAATGAGGAAGAGGGGCGAGACCAGAGTCCACCTGGGGGGGGGTCTCTGTCTGAATCTGGGGTAACCAACACAGCAGCGTCACAATATGTATATGTCAGTATATATAGGTACTGCAAATAATGACTGATTATCAAGAGACTCGTCCTTTCAGATCCCAGTTACTAAATACTCGCCAATAGTTCAGATTATTGTGAAGACATTTATAAGTCTTTTTTACTCTGTTTATAATTCCCAATAGGTTTGATGGTAGTTCTGTGATACCACATGACCTTTATCAAACCTGCTCTTATCCATGATTAAACAGTAACACAAGGGACAATAAAGCCGATCAGCATCTGATTTTAAAATGATCTGGAGTTGTTGTTTTCAGAGTGGTATAATATTCTGAGTGATCTGAAGGTGTTCAAATCTCTTGGTAACGTGGTCTGTTCCCAGCTGACCTGGTTGAGGTGTTCAGGTGTGATCATGTGACCCTCTGCCACCTGTTGACTGACAGCGAGCTGCGTAAGCCCGGCCTCCTCGTCTTCAGCCCCGCACACAACGGGCTGACGGACGCGAGCCAGATCTACGGCGGCCATCACCGTGGCAACCGCCACGGCCTTCCCCCCCCCCCGCCTGCAGACACAACCAGCAGTACAACGATGGGAGGGCGGCCATGACAGGAGGGGGGGGGGGGGGGGGGGGGGGGGGGGGCTTATCATAGGTGCCAATTAGCTTCCAATTAGGTCCCAAATAGTTTACCTTTGTTCCCTCCGCCAAAGAATATATTTTATTCTTGGATCTGCAGCTGGTGGACGATGCCAAGAAAACCTTCCAGCAAGTTTGTTGACTTCCTTCCTGTTTGTTTACTTCCTGTTTGTTTGTTTACTGCCTGTCTGTTTGTTTACTTCCTGTCTGTTTACTTTCGTGAGATGTTTGTGATTGAACGTTACCAATGGAGCCAGAGCCAAACTAGCGAGCTCTATGCTAAGCTAGGCTAATCAGCTCCGTCAGTGTATTCCTGTCCAGAGTGCAGATCATATTTAAATCTCTTTTCTTTCTATGCTCCTAGTACAATAACCATTCCAGATGTGACTCAACTTTAACCGTCTGATTTACTAAAGGAGGGAACAGGAATCACGAGTTTAAGTGTTTGAACCCCCCGACCTTCCTGCCTCTGTCAGACACAGAAACTTTCCACGAATCACAAAGTGAGTATATGTACACGTCCTGCAGTCACTCAGAGAGTCTGGTTTATGAGATCAAACATCATTTCCTGAAAAACTATATCCTGTTTTTTGGAAACTGACAGAAAAAAACTCTGATTCATAAAAAGGTTTGATTCCAAGCAACTTCATTTAAATGAATGGATTGTTTAACTGTTGTTGGTAATGTGTGTCTGTCAGCAGGTTACAGTGAATCTGAGGATACTGGTATTTAGCGTGTACATGTACTCAAAGCAACATTTAAGATTATCACATGCTCATCCGTGTGACATGCAGCGAATACAACGACATCTTTCCATGAAGAAACCAACGTGAAAGACGAAGACGGGTTTAAAGACGAAGACGTGTTTAAAGAAGAAGACGTGTTTAAAGAAGAAGACGTGTTTAAAGAAGAAGACGTGTTTAACGAAGACGTGTTTAAAGAAGAAGACGTGTTTAACGAAGACGTGTTTAAAGAAGAAGACGTGTTTAACGAAGACGTGTTTAAAGAAGAAGACGTGTTTAACGAAGACGTGTTTAAAGAAGAAGACGTGTTTAACGAAGACGTGTTTAAAGACGAAGACGTGTTTAACGAAGACGTGTTTAAAGAAGAAGACGTGTTTAACGAAGACGTGTTTAAAGACGTGTTTAAAGACGAAGACGTGTTTAAAGAAGACGTGTTTAAAGAAGAAGACGTGTTTAAAGACGAAGACGTGTTTAAAGAAGACGTGTTTAAAGACGAAGACGTGTTTAAAGAAGACGTGTTTAAAGACGAAGACGTGTTTAAAGACGAAGACGTGTTTAAAGAAGAAGACGTGTTTAAAGAAGAAGACGTGTTTAACGAAGACGTGTTTAACGAAGACGTGTTTAAAGAAGAAGACGTGTTTAACGAAGACGTGTTTAAAGAAGAAGACGTGTTTAACGAAGACGTGTTTAACGAAGACGTGTTTAACGAAGACGTGTTTAAAGAAGAAGACGTGTTTAACGAAGACGTGTTTAAAGAAGACGTGTTTAACGAAGACGTGTTTAACGAAGACGTGTTTAACGAAGACGTGTTTAAAGAAGAAGACGTGTTTAACGAAGACGTGTTTAAAGAAGAAGACGTGTTTAACGAAGACGTGTTTAACGAAGAAGACGTGTTTAAAGACGAAGACGTGTTTAAAGACGAAGACGTGTTTAAAGACGAAGACGTGTTTAAAGACGAAGACGTGTTTAAAGACGAAGACGTGTTTAAAGAAGACGTGTTTAAAGACGAAGACGTGTTTAAAGAAGACGTGTTTAAAGAAGACGTGTTTAAAGACGAAGACGTGTTTAAAGACGAAGACGTGTTTAAAGACGAAGACGTGTTTAACGAAGACGTGTTTAACGAAGAAGACGTGTTTAAAGACGAAGACGTGTTTAAAGACGAAGACGTGTTTAAAGACGAAGACGTGTTTAAAGACGAAGACGTGTTTAAAGACGAAGACGTGTTTAAAGACGAAGACGTGTTTAAAGAAGAAGACGTGTTTAAAGACGAAGACGTGTTTAAAGACGAAGACGTGTTTAAAAGCGAAAGACGTGTTTAAAGACGAAGACGTGTTTAGAAGACTTAAAGACGAAGACGTGTTTTAAAAGACGAAGACGTGTTTAAAACGAAGAGTGTTTAAAGGAAGACGTGTTTAAAGACGAAGACGTGTTTAAAGACGAAGACGTGTTTAAAGACGAAGACGTGTTTAAAGAAGAGTGTTTAAAGACGAAGACGTGTTTAAAGACGAAGACGTGTTAAAGAGACGTGTTTAAAGACGAAGACGTGTTTAAAGACGAAGACGTGTTTAAAGAAGACGTGTTTAAAGACGAAGACGTGTTTTAAAGAAGAAGACGTGTGTTAAAGACGAAGACGTGTTTAAAGACGAAGACGTGTTAAAGACGAAGACGGTTTTAAAGACGTGTTTAAAGACGAAGACGTGTTTAAAGAAGAAGACGTGTTTAAAGACGAAGACGTGTTTAAAGACGAAGAGTGTTTAAAGACGTGTTTCAAGACGTGTTAAAGACGAAGAGTGTTTTAAAGAAGAAGACGTGTTTAAAGAAGACGTGTTGTTAAGATGAAGACGTGTTTTAAAGAATACGTGTTTAAAGAAGACGTGTTTAAAGACGAAGACGTGTTTAAAGAAGACGTGTTTAAAGACGAAGACGTGTTTAAAGACGA